GGCACAGAGATGGCCCCGAAGCTCCCAAAGGTGCCCCAAGACGGCCCCAAGACGGCCCCAAGTGTTCCCTGGAGGCCCCAGGAGGCCCGCAGGAGGCGCTCAAGATTACCCCAAGAGGCCTCGGCGAGAAACCCCAGATCATTGATTTTACTCAGTTGTGGGCCACATGTTGGCTTCCTGGGGGGGGGGATCCTGAGTAGGGAGCCCCCTCCTTTGATCGATCTCCTCCAGGATGGCCCCCGAAGCTCAAGGGTGCCACAAGGCGGCCCCAAGGGGTGCCCAGGAGGCCCCAAGAGGCCAGATGCCCCCAAGACGCCCCAAAGGGCCTCCCAAGATGCTCCCCAGAGGCACCCAAGACGCCCCAATCGGCCCCAGGACTGCCAAGAGACCCCGCAAGACACCCCACTAGGACTCCGAGAAGCTCTCGGAAGAAATCCGAAGAGACTCCGGGAGGCATCCAAGAGGCCCCGGGACTTTCTGCTCCTCCTCCTCCTCCTCCTCCTCCTCCTCCTCCTCCTTCCTCCTCCCCCCTCTCCTCCTCCTCCTCTCCTCCTCCTCTTCTCCTTCCTCCTCCTCCTCCCTCCCCCCTCCCTCCTCCTCCTCCTCATCATCATCATCTCCTCTTCCTCCTCCTCTTCCTCCTCCTCCTCCTCCTCCTCCTCCTCCTCCTCTTCATCCTCCTCAGCCTCCTCAGATTTCTCGTCCATCCTCCCCCTCTTGGGGCACGACGTCTTACCCAGCTGCATTATCCTCCACATCCCTGGTTATGGCAACACGTCTGGACATCGCTTCTGGATGGTCTGGTGGGGTCACGCGAAACGTCCAGCAATGTTGTAGCGGCTCTCGGCCACTTGCACTCGGCGATCCGTTCCTAGCCGCGCGGAGCACAAAAGAAACTCGGAAGTCTTGGAACGTCTCATTGTCGTGACTTCTTGCTCCTCTCAAAGAACAAGCCGTCTCCGTCAACACCGAAACAGAAAAACGGGCCGAACCGCAACATGCGCCAGATCGGGAAGCATCGGCATGGAGCCGAAACCAAATCGGATCGGCCGGGCTGCACAGCAGCGTAATGCCAACACGAAGCCGCAGCACCGAGATGACGGAAAGCAACGAGGCTGGATCGGAGCGGGACAAGTCGGGTCGAAATGGACCCTGGAGGGTGCCCGAGCAGTGTTTCGGGATGCCCGCCTCCACGATCTCGCCCCTCGCCAGCTTGACTTAACGCAGGATCGGGGAGACGTAAGACTCGGGTTTGGGGGGGCCACCATGAAAATGATGAGCCCCAATCTGAAATTTGACGCGAGCTCCCGCTGCAGACATCCCACGAAAACCAGGACGCGCTCGTCAAAAAGCCTCGGCAAACCCGAGTTCCGGCGTACTCGAGTCTCACGTTTCCCCGATGGGGGGAGGGAAGCGGATCGAGGGAGGAGGAAAGGACGAAGAGGACCGCACGAGAAAGGAGAGGCGAGGAGGAGAAGGAGGACGAGGAGGACAGGCGTTGGAGCGCATGTTTGTATTCGCGGCCACGGGCGCGATGGGGAGGAAGGGGGGGGGGGCATCGCGTGGCACCCCCCCCCCCCACGCTGTGGTGCCGGACGCGCTGCGGCAGTGCCGGGGACGCACTGGTGAGGGGATCGTTACGTTATGGGGGTGGGGAGGAGCGGGGAGGGGGGGGCATGACGCGCGTCATGGCCCCAAGGATAAAATTACCCCGCGACATACCCAGCCCATCGGCACCAAGGGATGATAATGAGGTGTGCCGACAATAATGCGACGGCAACACTGCAAGAGACGGTGCACAGCGGATGTTTATGTCGTGCGAAGTGTGCGTGGCCAGCTCGCAGAACAGAGGTACAAAAGGCCAGGAGGCATCATACTGGGAAGGAGGAAGACACCGGGGTGAAAGAACAACCACCTCGGCAGCGGCAGCGAGATGATGGCGAGGTCTTTTTGGGATCTGCGTGGGACCCACCTGTGCTGGCCCCCCCAGAAGCCCTCGAAAATGACGACAATTTCACACTTCGCAGCCCCCCAGGGATGGCCCCCAGGATGGCGGGGTCCAAAATGGATCTGCGTGGGGCCCCACTGTGCTGCCCCGCCAAGCAGCCCGTGAAAGTGGCGACAGTTTCACACTTCGCAGCCCCCCAGGGATGGCGAGGTCCTGTTTGGGTCTGCGCGGGGCCCCACTGTGCTGCCCCCCCCCCGCAGGCAGGCGAGAGGGGGGCAGAGCTGGCTCCCCCAGCAGGCAGGTGCAGAAAGGCGCAGGCAGGCGAGAGGGGACAGAGGGCGAGAGGAGGAGGAGGAGGAGGAGGAGGAGGAGGAGGAGGAGGAGGAGGAGGAGGAGGAGGGAGTCGACACCCCACTGCTCTATTCAAAACGAGAGCCCAGCCAAGGCAAGGTTGGGAAAACCACTCTCTTATTGAATGCAACAGCCATGTAACAGCCATCAGCAGAAGTCGCGTGATGGTCGCTCTCACTTCGCCCCAGAAGAGTGCCGTCGACCCGCGCTGCCCCCTCAGGGAGGGCGTGGTCGCCTCGCAGACTGTGCCCCGCCGACCCCGCGCAGCGACAAGCTCGTGTGCCAGAGCGGCGGCCAACGGCAAGGCGAGAGAGCAGCGCGCCTCCGAGCCACGTCCCTCGACCCCCCCAAGGAGCCTCTGCGCTCAGCTTTGCATCTGCGAGGGCAGGGCGCGCGCGCCGCAGCCCTTGCATCGGAGGGACGACGCCGCGCGGGGGGGGGGATGCAAACGGCATCGGAGGATGCCGGTCGAATGCAACGGCGGCCTGCTGTCGCAAAGCATCTTGGCTGCAATGGAACCGACCAGCACGTGGCGTATGTTGATGGCTGCGATTTTCCAACAGAGCCTCGAGGTGAAAATGAGGAAACATGAAGAGAAAGAGGAGAGGACGACGAGGAAAGGACGAGGAACTTATGATTGTGTGAGTTCCACAGATCGTATCCACCAGAGCTCCCTACTCGAACTTCACAGCGATGAAGCACAGTACGAAGAGGAAAAACATCAGCACGACAACGGTTGGAGGTGTCGTACTTGCCCAGGAAGGCGTTCATGCTGAATTGCCGCCCCCGAGCTGCGATGCCCTGGTGCGAATTGATCCCCGCGGTGGCCATGTACAATGACCGGTTCGCCAGTAGCCACCAGGAAATCCCATGCAGGGAAAATGGTAATGCCAAAGACGACCCACACAACAACAGCACATAAACAAAATACTATATAACAACTTTCAAAAACAAAACATGATAATACAAATCGGCCATGTCGGGGTTCTCGTGGAAGCAGACTTCCTCGGGGTCAAGCTCAGATACGCTCCGCTCGACTGGCCTGGCACCAAAATTGATGCAATGATCGAACATGCCTACCCCTTGCGGGCCAAACAAGCGGTCTTCCCTGGGATCATGAGGCGGACCCAGAGGCGACCAGCTCGACCGCGAAGGCGAGGGGGCACCCACGCGACCAGGACCAGAAGCAAAAGCGATCGCCGGGCCGCCGCCGTGTAAAACGCCATGAGCTCCATCGAGCCGCTCACGAAGCCGCACGGACCGTTGGAAAGAACGGGAAGCGCAACACCAGGCAATCCGCTGCTCCACGAGGGTGTAGCAAGCAGCACCGGCGGCGATGGCGACACCAGCCTGTCTCCACACGGCAGCAGTCCCCCGCAAGGGCCCATTGGTGCAGGCGGAGTCCGAGATAGCAGCAGCACCTCCGGGAGCAGCAAGAAGCGCATCTCCAGCCCGCTCAAACTGGAATAAAAAACGGCATAAACACAAACTTTTGGCGCTCCGCGCGGACTTCCTGGATCTGCGCCGGAGGCGCCGCCGAGGGGCCGAGCGCGGATCCCAGAAACCCACGCGTAGCGCCGAACTGTCTATGTCTATGCCGTTCTTCCTTCTTCGACATAAGCGAGCAGACGAGAAAACGGTGGCGCCACCCGTGCAGCCAAGGCCGTGCTGGTGGCACACGAGCGGCCCCACGCACGGGCCCACGCGCACTCGCTCGGAGCCAGTCGCGGGCACGAGCCCCGGCGCACCGGAGTGGAGGACGCGGGCCTGCAAGGCGACGCCCAGCGTCCGCTGCGGCAGGTCGCCGCTGACCGAGGCGAGCACCATGCTGCGCACGACGCAGCTGCTCGGGGGCAGCGGCCAGGGCTAACAGGCCAGGCGCCTGGGCATGCCAAGCCACGCGAGCGACGATCCGAAGCGGGCCTCACGCGAGGTGGCACAGCGACCTTGCGCGGTGGCTTGCGCGGGCCGTCTGCGCGTTACGCTACGCTGGAAGCGAGGGCGCTTACGCGCGACCTTACGCGAGCAGCCTGCGCGCCACTGTCGGCGCAGACCGGCCCCGTTTTTTTGGCGTCGCCCACGCTGCTCTTCGGCACATCGAGGCCCCCGACGTCGGTGCTGCTGAGCAACTGCACGAGGGCATGGATCGAGGCGAGGATCTTGTCCGCCACCACGGCTCCTCCTCCTCCTCCTCCTCCTCCTCCTCCTCCTCCTCCTCCTCCTCCTCCTCCTCCCTGGCTCCCAAGAGCAGACCCACGTGGCCAATCAACTTCTGCCACTTGCGAGCGGACTCACCACGCTGCACCGTCGGCCTGAAGGTGCGCCTCTCGGCCGAGGCGCGTGCCCCCGCCGCCCCACGCCCGGGGGGCCTCCAGCAGCCACCCTCCGCGAGCAGCAGCTCCCGGTCCAGCCAATGAGCGAAGACAGCCGACGAAAATGGAGGCCTGAGACTGGCCTGAGCCAAAATGGCCACAGAGGAAAACAGGAGGAGGAAGATGAGGAGGGGGGGGAGGAGGAGGAGGAGGAGGAGGAGGAGGAGGAGGAGGAGGAGGAGGAGGAGGAGGAGGAGGAGGAGGAGGAGGAGGAGGAGGAGGAGGAGAGGAGGAGGCGGAGGAGGAGGAGGAGGAGGAGGAGAGAGCGAGGAGCAACGGACGAGGAAGAGAGGGGAGTGGCGCAGGACGAAGAGGAGGAAGAGGACGAGGAGCAGGAGGAAGCGCGTGCGCTCCCCGCCACTCTGAAGGGGTGCCCGCCTGCACGATCTCGCCCCCCAGCCACCTTAGAGGAAAGAGAACTGTGCACATACACCGATTCTGGCCAGGCCCATCCTGAGCCCAGGATCGGTGCACACGCCCTCCTGCCCTGGCTAGGAAGGCATGTGCAGCGATCCTGGGTCAAGGAGGGATGGGCCTTGCCAGGATCGGTGCACGTGCACAGTCCCCTTCGCCAGCCACCTGATGCAGAAGTTGCCCTTCTCGTCCGCGCCCTCCTCCGTGTAGCCCCCGAAGCGCACGGGGTAGATGGTGTCCGGCCTCCGGGGAGTCTCCGCCGGCGGGGCGGCCGCAGCCGCGGCACCGAGGAGGAGCGGCGCCCAAAGGCTCGGAGGAGGATGGCCTCCAGGAGTCTCGAGGACCCAATCGGATCAGATATATCGACGAGGAGGATGGAAGATGACTACCTACCAGACCACCCCAACCCAACCCGAAGACCCGAATTTCGGGTTGGGGGGGGTAAGGGTTCCACGCGTGTTTTTTCGATGTTCCCCGACCCCCCCCCCCACTGGAAATCGACAGTAAATTTGGGCCTTCGGGTTGGGTTGGGGTGGTGTGGTGGATGGTGAGAAGAGGGCGGGCCGGCGGGTGTGGAGGAGGAGAGGGTCGGGCACCGAGCGAGCAGGGCCGATCAGCCAGTTCCTGCGCGGGCGGTTGCGGGAGCAGAGCATCCGGAGCTCGCAAGGCCGGAGCATCGAGGAGGATTGTAAACACATGTTGGACATCGTTGGCCCTTGTCGGGCCGCAAGGGGCCCGATGGAGATCTCAAGGAGATGTCGTCGTCGTCGACGTCACCGCCGCCGCCGTCGTCGCCGTCGTCGCCGTCGTCGTCGTCGCCGTCCATCGCCGTCTTCGTCGCCGTTCGCCGCCGTCCGCCGCCGTCCGCCGCCGTCCGCCGTCCGCCGCTGCCGCCGTCGAGGCCGCCGCCGCCGCAGTCGTCGTCGCCGTCGTCGTCGCCGTCGTCGTCGTCGTCGTCGCCGTCGTCGTCGTCGTCGCCGTCGTCGTCGTCGTCGTCGCCGTCGCCGTCGCCGTCGCCGTCGCCGTCGCCGTCGCCGTCGCAGTCGTCGTCGCCGTCGTCGTCGCCGTCGTCGTCGTCGTCGTCGCCGTCGTCGTCGTCGTTGCCGTCGTCGTCGTCGTCGTCGCCGTCGCCGTCGCCGTCGCCGTCGCCGTCGCCGTCACCGTCGCCGTCGCCGTCGCCGTCGCCGTCGCCGTCGTCGTCGCCGTCGTCGCCGTTCCCGCCCTGACGGGCGACCAACCAAGCACCGCGGCCCCAACCATCCGCTCTGGCCGTGGGGGGGTTCGGCCGGTCGGACGCAGGCTGGGAACCTCGGTCATGGGCACTCGTCTCTCTTTCGGCTCTGGGGCTGCCCCCAGGATCCTGGGGACCCCGGAGGAGGAAAGGAACAGAGTGACAGGGTGAGTTCGACCTGCAGGCCAGAGGATAGGGGTGGAATTCCAGGACGCCTTGCAGGCACGCCGACACTCCTTCGCAGCAGCTCGATGCCGTGGGATCGGGGGCGGCCAAGAGGGGGGCTTCCAGGAGGGGGGGGGGCGCAAATCATGGCCGGCGGCACTTGCGCGGCCCAAGGGGGGGCTGGGGACGCATTGAAATAAGAAAAGGCGCCATAAAATCTGGGGAGATATCCTGGCCCCCCCCCCTGGTCCTCACCCCCCTCTTTGCCGCCCCCGATGGGAGAGGGGAGGGGGGGAGGGAGGGCGGCCGTGCCGGGCCTCGGGATCTCGAAGGGGCACCCGTTCCCCAGCCAGAAGTCGGGCACCTCCACCTGCCTGCCGTCGTCGATCTTCTGCTTGAACATGCCTCGCGGGGGCCGGGCGACGGCGGCGGCGGCGGCTGACGGCGGCGGCGGCAGCGGCGGTGGCGAGAGCGACGGCGCGGCAGAGGGAGCAGGAGGGAGGGAGAGGGAGCAAGGGAACGGCGGGGGACCGAGGAGGAGTAGCAACCTCCCTCCTGGTCCTGTATCCTCCTCTTCCTCATCATCATCTGACTCCTTCTCATCCGGCCTTCCTCCAACCTGCTCCTCCTGCCCCTCCACTCTCTCCTCGACCCACCTCCTCATCCTCCCTCCACCCTTTGCCCCATTCCTCCTTCCTTCCCGTCCCACATTTCTCTGTGCCCTTCATCCCTCCTCCTCCCTCCTCCGTCACCGCTGCTACTGCCCCAACGCCTGGGTCGACGACGACGACGACGACGACGACGACGACGACGACGACGACGACGACGACGGCGGCGTTAACTCGCCCCCGAGGCGCCGTAGCTGTAGCGGATGCCGTAGCCCCAGATCGGCAGCGACAGCGTTGCCATGGAGTCCTTGAGGGGGGGCGCGTGAGGTTGGCCGCTAGTCGTCGCCGTCGTCGAAGTCGTCGCCGTCGCCGTCGCCGTCGCCGTCGTCGCCGTCGCCGAAGTCGTCGTCGCCGTCGTCGTCGTCGTGGTCGTGGTCGTGATCGCGGTCGTGGTCGTCGTCGTGGTCGTGGTCGCGGTCGTGGTCGTGGTCGTGGTCGACTGAGGAAGGAGGGAGGAGTGGAGAAGGCGAAGACGAGGCCAGGGTAGCGGTATGGGTACCTAGGCACCTGTTCCCCCTCTGCATCCACCCCTGTCTCGGGGGGAACGAAAGGGGGGGATAGCAAAGGGTAGGGTAGAGAATCAGCTCGCGCAGACGATTTTCCCGGCGCCTTCCGGCGCCGGAAGGCGCCCGTGTGTCGAGGGATGGGCCCGACTGCGGGGCCGAAACCGGCTGCGCGCAGCAGAGTTCGTAACCCCCCCTTCCCCCACCCCCCCCCTTTCGTTCGGCCCGACTGGCGCTGGATGCCCCCCGAGGGGAAGCTCGAGAGCGCCGCGGCCGTCGCCCAGGGCGGGGGCGGCCGGGTCCAGGAAGCAGGCGGCGAGGCGGCCGAGGCCGCCGTTGCCCAGGGCGGGGTCGTCCTCCTCGAGGGGAGGGGCGCCGGGGCGCCGCGGGCGCTGCCGGGCGCAGCGGCGAGGAGGTCTGCCTTCCGCCCTTCTTCCTTCCGTCCGCCCTCCCTCCTCTGCCATCCTCCCTTCTCTCATCCCTTTGCCTCCACCCTCTCTCCCTCCCCTCCCCCCCTCCCCCCTTCCCTCCTCCCCCGTATTCTTTCAAACTTCCTGCCAGAGGCAGCGTCCAACGCACAACTTTGCCATGTACATCGCACGCCCTCTCCCTGGATCGCGTCGCAGCGTCAGCCAGAGTGCCCCTCCTCCTCCCCAGGGAAGACGATCATGCCCGTGCCCCTCTACCATCGGCCGCTTCGCTAGAAGACGAATAAAGCGCATAGACATAACCTTTTGGCGCTCCGCGCGGATTTCTTGGACTCGCGCTGGACCCCCCTCCCTGGTGCGCGGAGCGCGCCAGGGGCAGCGCTGGAGGCGCCGCCGGGGGGCCCAGGCGCGGATCCAAGGAATCCGCACGGAGCGCCAAAAGTTTATGTTTATGCGAACGTTTCTTCTTCGATTCGCGGCTCCTGTTCAGTCAAGTCCTCCAGCTTCATCCCGAGGTCCAGGAAGGCGTTCTTGAAGGGCTCCTCCAGGTCGAGGTTGGCGATGGCGTTCTGCATGTGGCGGCCGATAAGGTACTCCGCAGACAGGTAGTATGCGCGCTTCACGTCCTTAGAGGAAGAAAAACTGAAGGGGCCCTGGGACACACAAATAAATAAACACAAATACTAGGATTCCTTATATTTTCCAGGGCTGCCAACGACTACCCCCCTAACGCCCCAAGGGGCCCCCAAGAGCCCCCCAAGAGGCCCCAGGGGAGCCCAATTCGCCGCCAAGGAGCCCCAAGACGCTCCCAAGAAGCCCCCAAGAAGCCCCCAAGACGGCCCCACGAGGCCCCAAATAGCGCTCCAGGGCCGGCGGAATGAGCGAAGCGATTCAATAAATAGACACAAATACTAGGATTCCTTATATTTTCCGATATTTTCTGGGTTTCGGTCTTCCCCCCCACTTCCCATATTTTCCCATATTTTCTTGGGAGTCGACGGTTGATTGTGTCTGTGTGTTTTTTGTTCCCCCTCCGTTGAAAAACATTATGAACATGAACGTTCGAAGGTCCGCGCAGATTTCTTGGGTCCACGCTGGACCCCCCTCCCTGGCGCGAGGAGCGCGCCAGGGGCAGCGCCAGGGGCGCCGCAAGGGGGGCCCAGCGCCGTTATAAGAAATCAGCGCGGACCGTCGAAAGTGTATGTTTATATCGATTTGTCTTGTTCGTGTCCTGCTTCTCGTACCAGTCGTTGGTGTCATTCAGAGACTCCATCAAGCGGTCGCGCAGGACGAGACCCGCGGCGCGGTACGCATCCTCCATCGTGAAGTTGAACCGGGTGCACGCGAGCGAGTACTCGAGGTGGCGCGCGAATGACTTCTGGATGGACTCCGGATCGTTCGCCTCGCGGCAGCCGGCGGCGACGCGGACGACAGCGCACGACGACACGCGCGACGACGAGGACGAGCGCGACGACGACGAAAACGACGGCGTGGACGAAGACGAGGTCGCCTCGTAGTGCTTCATCAGCTTCCACAGCTTGTCGGAGGCGTCCTGCGGCTTCGGGCGCGTCACCTCTTCGGTGAGGAGCGAGAACGACGACTTGCGCTTCATCTCGAAGCCCTGATCCTTGGTGTTCCACACGCCGCTGGTCGTCATCTCGGTGGCAGCTGCGAGGCCGCAAGCGGCCCGTCGTGCGCGAGGAGGGGGTGCTGGGGCACGGCCGTACGCGGCAAGCGCTCGGTCCAAACGGCCATCGAGACCCGAAGCCGAAGGAGACTATGTCAGATTGGGGCGCGAGCGAAGCGGGAGCGGGAGGGGCACGAAGTGGGCGAGAACGGGGACGAGGGACCGGGCGAATAGGGAAGAGGAGTGAGGTCGGGGGAGGATGTCGCCGACGAGAACGTGGGAGGAGGAGGAGTAGGAGGAGGAGGAGGGCAGGGAGAGGGCCGCGGATCGGGCGAATATGACGCCACGTTCCTGATGATCCTCCTCCTCATCCTCCCCCTCCCCCTCCCCCTCCTCCTCCTCCTCCTCCTCCTCCTCCTCCTCCTCCTCCTCTTCCTCTTTCCCTGGTGGGTGCGGCCTGGTCGTAGTACGTAGTCGTCCGACGACTTTATTCTGCATGATTAGGGGAGAGTACGAGGAGGACGAGGGAAGTGGAAGACGAAAAGGATAACGAGGACAAAGGGGAACGATGGAGATGGAGGATGGGGAGAGGACAGGCGAAGAGGAGGAGGAGTAGGAGGAGGAGGAGGAGGATGAGGAGGAGGAGGACAACAACGACGGCGAGGAGCATCAAGGGAAGGGAAGAGGGAACGGAGGGGAGACGACGACGATGACGATGAGTAGGGCCCGCGGCAGCTGCCGCACGAACTTCAGACACTGGCGGAGGCGAAGGCGAGCGGAGAACGAAGAGGGAGAAGAGAGGGGAGGGTGCTTCAACGAGGAGGGACGGGCCGGGGGCCACAGGGGAGGAGGAGCAGCCCGGCAGGGAGGGAGGCAGAGGCAGAAGGCAGGAAAACCTGACACGACGGGGCCCTGGGCCGCCCCGACCCCCCCCTCCCCGGCGGGCCCTACTTCCCAGCACCGCCATCCTGCAGAGCACGGTGGCCCCGAACGCCCCTCGTGGCTGCACTCGGGCGGGTCGCGGCACGGAGGCGCAACCGCACCCCGAGGGTGCGGGTGCGCAGCGAGGCCGTGGGCCTCGGCCTCGCGGCCTGGGGCCCTCCGCCGCGGCAGGCGGGCCCTGCCTCCCAGCGCCGCCATCCCTGGAGAGCACGGTGGAGAGGGACGAGCGGGAGGAGGAGGAGGAGGAGGAGGAGGAGGAAGGAGGGGAGCGGGAGGAGCAGGAGGAGGAGGAGGAGGAGGTTGAGGAGGAGAAAGAGGATGAGGAGGAGGAGTTTTTCCAGCAGTTTCATTTCTCACGTGGTGAGGTTAGGGCGGGTCTGGGGCCGCCGCCACCTCAGAGACCAGGACCTGGTTCTCGGAGGTGTCCTTGTTCTTTTCTCTTATTTCGGCGTACTGCTTTTCTTCACCTTTGCTTTCCATGCTATGCTTTCGTAGCCGTCTTTCTTTAGCTTCTTTCAGCATGCGGAAGAGCGGGGCCACCTTTTCCCTTTGAGCTTTTACTTCTTGGTCCTGTTATTGTTATTCCAGCTCCTGTGGGTCTTTATCGTGAGGCTTGGCTTCTCTTCTCGCTGTTCTTCTTTCCCCCATGTCACGGGGTAACGTCATTACTGCCTCCCCTGCGTCAAGGGGCTCCTTTTCATTCGTGTGCTTCGTGTCCTGCGTCCCTCTCGCCGGTCTATTCGCACTTGTCGCACCCTTATGCGCCATTTTCGCCATACTCCCAATTCTTGCCGCTTTCACGACCTCCGCTTCTTCGCCTCGTCTTTTCTGTTTCCACGTTTGCAGCTTTCCTTCTTCAGCTTCTTTCAGCATGCGCGCTAGCGGGGCCACCTTCTCCTTCTCTGCTTTCCCCCGTGTGCAGGTTCATGATTTCTCCGTTGTTTCTGCTCTTCTTCATATTGTGGCTTTGCTCCTTTCCTCGTCGTTTTTCTTTCCCCCATGTCACGGGGTAACTTCATTTCCCTTTCGTCGGGGGGCGCACCTCTTGTTTCTGGGCCTTCGGCTTCCCCTGCGCCAAGGGGCTCGGTCTCATTCGTGCGGTTCATGGCCTGTGCCCTTTTTGCCGAACTGCTCGGACTTGAAGCTTCTTCGTCTACCCTTTTCGCCGTACTCCCTGTCCTTGCCGTTTTATGTGCTTCTTCTTCTCGGGCTTCCCACTTACGTCCTGTGTAAATTTCTGTATCATTCCTCTGGCCCCCCATGTCACGGGGGTGGTTGTCCTCATATTTTACCCTGGCGGTTTCCCTTTGTTCCTCGTCGTCACCGCTATCTTCTTCTGCTGTTGATTCGCGTCTTTGTTTCTTTTTATCTTCCTTTCTTTGGCTTCTTTCAGCATCTGGAATAGCGGGGCCATCTTTTCTCGATGCGATCGGTCTTCAGGGTCAGTGTCTTCGCCTGATTATTGCGCTTTTTCCTTCGGCGTATCTCCACTTTCCGCAGCTTTCCTTCGTGGTGCTTTATTTGCGTTCGCCTTCTTCTCTGATCTCCCCGTCCTTGTCTCTTTCTTCCTCACTTATGGTTCTTATTCCGTCGTAGCCTGTTTCTTTTTGTCCTTACCCTCGTTGCTTGACTTGTTTCCTTCAGCTTCGGCATGTGTTTTCGTATTCTCGCCTTCTCCCTCCTCGTTAGCGGCGCCATTCTCCGCTGGACCCCCGTTCTTTCGTGGCGACGTTTTGCCGAGTAGCCGCAATGGCACACTAGGTCTTTGCGCTCTAACGCCTTCCAGCGTACGTGGCGACGCTGCGTCTAGTAGCCGCAATGGCACACTAGGACTTTGCGCTCTAACGCCCGATCCCTGATCGCCCTGTATCCCGTCTGTCGAGGCTGGTTCCGTCCAGTGGTCGTTTTCCTCTCTTCCTCCACGGGCGTGCTGCTCAGGACCCTGCGCATGTTCAGTGCGAGCAGTCCTTTCTTCTACTTCTTCTTCGCCTCCGTCGTGCTGTTCTGGTCGTCCGTACTGCTCAACTAGCGCTCATTGTAGCCGGCCCCCCAACTTGTACTTCACCGAACTGTAGCCAGGCTGCCGCAGGCATAGGTTGCGCATCTTCTCCGATGCATACTCTGCCGCCGTGCCCACACATAATCTGCATACATAACGTTATTTCCCTGGGACCCATATCAGCGGGTGCGTCTCGTGCGAGGTGGCCCCGTTGATACGTATCTGCGCTCCTTCTGGTGCGGGAGGTCCTTGGCGCCCCTCAGACAGCCCCTCGCGAATGTACTCCATCCCCGTCTCCTTGCTGATCTTCTGCTCGCAGTGGGTGCATTTCCAACCTTTCCCTGTTGCCAGATTCTTAAGCGCGCGCGTGGTACTTGGAGGATCAGCGTGCGTCAGGAGTTCGAGATTGTGTGTTCTGCCTTCTCGTTCCTTATGGTTGGCTCTTTGCGTCCCCTTTTAGCTTCCCTTTCGTCGGGTGGTCTTCGTTCAATTGCCCCCTTCGTCGCTATCATAATTCTTTTGCGCACCATGCAAGCCGCTGCTCTTGTCCACTCGTAGTTAGCCATGGTCGAGCTCGGCATTGCGTACAGTGCTGTCCCCTTGTCTGCCATGTCGGCCACTGCCTTGTTTTCAACCCAGACTTGTCGTGGTATTCCTTTTGCTCTCGCTTCTTCCAATTCCATGTGGCTGTTCACGTGCATGACTGTGATATATTGCTCGTCTCCGCCTCTGTCTTGCATAGCTCTCCCAATTTTCCTCCAGATGTCCTGGTTGCCTCCTGTTCTGTGTGGCCTGGTACGTCTCCCAATGCGCCAGCCCTTCCTGAAGAATTTTGCTGTCCGCCCAGTACTCCGCCACACCATTCGTGCTGGAAATGAAACTTACGAGTGCCCATAGCTCCGCTCCGTTGTTAGTCTGTCTTGATCCAGGGAGTGCGCCCAGCTTTGATGCCTTGGTGTCGCGCGCGCTGTTTGTCTCGAGCATGACAGACCAGCTTCACCCGCGCATCTTCGGCATCTTTGATCGTTGGAGTATTCGCCTCCTGATCCGTCGCCGCACCCTATGATGATGTTGCAGCTGCTGGTGCGCTCCTCATGGATGCACTCCCCGATGTGTATTCCTTCGCACTCGGTGTTGCATGGCTCGGGTGTTGTCCACGCTCTTGGTGGTATCCCGCGTATCCAGAAAACTGGGGCTGCGTCCGCTCCTTCGATTGCCCTTGCTCTGGGTCGTCCCGTCTTTTCGAAAACCTCGCCATTGGATCTCTGGTTGCATCTCCCCCGTATGCGGTGTGCGTCAGTCTCGGCATCCCCACATTCGCATTTGTCGTCCGTGTCGTAGTGCTGGCGTGTACGTGGTCCCGTCCAGGTTCCCGCACATGCCGCCGCAAGTGTTGCTCCGTACTGTTGATGTTCACCTTGCTTCCGTAGTCGGCGCAGGCGGTCCCTCATGTCTTGGAAGTCCGCCCCCTTTTCGAGCCCTCTCCCCATGTAGTGCTCTGCAGCTCCTGCCCAAAGTTGCTCGTCCAGGGTTCTCATAATTGCGTCTAGAATGTCCGCTGGATCTCCATCTTCTTCACCTTCTGGGAACGCCCACATTTCTCCGCTTGGGCTCAGCCACTTTGTTGGTCCTCTGGTGCCCCAGCCAAGCTCCCATAACGTTAATATGATACCTCCCAGCGGTCCTCGTCGCACTCTCCAGCTGTTTTGTGGTTTTTCTCTCCATAATCTGAAATATATCCTCGACCACGCCCTCTTGATTTGGTGCCTCAGCTCTGGTGAGCGTGACCAGACGTCGAAGAATGCTTTGATCTGGCCTCTTACCACCGAGTGGGCGGGATCGTGACCTTCCAGGGCCAGAAAAGTCGCAAGGCATCTGCCCGCCCAGGGTCGTCTGATCGCTTGCGCATACTTTCGACGTGTCCGCTGAAGAGCATGCGGTGCAAGTCCGTGGCCGATTGCTCCGTGCATCATCGATGCCATTGCCCCTTGGTTGCACACCGCTGCCCGTGCATGCAGTTTGGTTGTTTTCAGCTTCCTCTCTACTTCTCGCATCCGTTTGAAGGCACAGTTTAGCCTTTTTGCCGTGCGTCCAAGGTCTCTGCCCTCTGTCGCCGTCTGGATGTCGATCTTTACCTCCGCGAGCCCCTTCTGGATCTCGGTGCTGTCCTTGGAGTTCGTTGAGCCGGGCAAAGGTTTACCCGCCAAGTTGAGACCATGTGCCTTTAGTGCGTCTCGAAGTTCACGCGTTGTCTTTACCATGCCACCGATAACTGCCCCCCTGCTTCCCGCCACCCTGATGCTGATGTCGTCGAACCACGCTCTCGGTACAGGTTTGGGAATGCATAGATCCAGTCCAGTAATTCTTGCCAGTAAAGCGCACACAATCGTCTTTGCCACATTGTTTGGGCGCCGTGATTCTTCAAGTATTGATTTGCCCGCGTAAATTGGCAGTGAACATGCCGCTTTGCATCAGAGTACTCGCGCCGACGAGTGCTGCATCATCGGCATGAGTAGTATTCTTGCCGAGAATCCTAGCTCCATTGCCGCTGCAATAACTCCATCTTGTCTGAGGCTGTCGTAGAACTTCTCGGTGTCAGCCAGGAGGCTGCTGTTGTTGACCCCCATCGCGTTTATGCACTCGTCCGCGATGGCTCGTCGCAGCGCCTCCCGCAGACAGATATTACCTTGTATCGCCGCATCCCATTCTCGCGCTTGTTCTTTCGCCCATGATCTTACCCTCGGTCTATGCAATAGCTCCCAGCATCTTACCAGCTGTGGAAGAAGTACCAGCGCCCTGTCACCCTTCTTTGGCTTCGGGGTGATCATGACTACCGAACATAACAATTGCCATGCCCACATAATCCTCGCCTCGCACTCATTGAACAAGTCCACAATAACCTGTCTTCCCTCTTCTGGGAGACGCCGTATGTCACTGCATGAAACCTTATCCACTCCTTGTCCATTGTCTGGTTCTCCTTTCAGCGCGGTATCCAGGTCGCTGAGCGCCCATACCTGCGGGTCCTCCTGGCGCGCCACTCTCCTGAGGTACTCGAGGTTTTGTCAGCGCCTCTCGCGTGGGTTGCCAGGGTCTGTCCAGGTGGCCTTGAACGCCTCCGCTTTGAGGTCCACGATCTCCGTGGGGCAGCATATTACTCCGCTTGTTGTCGCTATTTCTTCCTCGCGCCGTGCAGGAGGCCTCGTTATCTTGTACAGTATGCCTGGCTCTTTCTCCGCCATAGCCAGCCATTTAGCATATGTGCGAGCTCCTTCGCGTAGATCCCGCTGTGCTGCTGCTTGCCTCTCGTTCTCCGCCTGCCACGCCATTCCCTCCAAAATCTCCGTGTCGACGCTTTTCAGATCCCCCATGCGCTGTGCCCATATTGACCGATGTAGCTCCGCCGCCGGCGTCGCGTTGCCAGCTCCTGGAATTCCATCAAGTACCAGACGCCTCGCTGCCTTCACGAGCGCGTCGACATGCCTTTCCGCTGTGCCTTTTGTCTGTGGTTGATCATCTTGTTTAGGATTGCCTCCGTTCTGCTTCACCAGTCCGCTCTCATACTTGCATATCGTGTCCGTCCTTCCCCCTTCTCGCGTAAGTTGACCGTCTCGAAAGATGTAGCTTCTCCTTCTCCTTTTGTAATATTCGCGGTCCTCTAAATCGATCTTGTAGCACATGCAGTAGAACGACTCCAATGCACTCATGGTTCTGTCGCAGGTTCTGGCCAGGGCTTTTGCGCCTTCTGGGTCCGACTTGTAGGCCGCGCTCGCTGCAATGAAGGGTGGTGGTTCGTCTGCTTCATCTCTGGTGTGAATGAATGATGCTGCTTTCCATGCACCGTTCATAACCGCGGAATCGATCTTGGGCGTTGCCTCCACCGTGCGGTCCTTTAGCGATTTGGCCCCGCTGCATGTCCCTGCCAGTGAGTTCGGTCCATCACTTTCACGGGCCTTCTCGCTCGCATATAGTGTCTCCTGCTCATTCATGGGGCTGCCCCTCTCATCGTTCGAGTCGCCGTACGCAGCCAGGAACTCCATTTCCATGTCCTGCTCGTAGCGTGCCAGCTCCTCGTACGCGTCGGCTTCTCCGCGGCCGCCGTTCTCCTCATACTCGGATATGTCGTCGAAGGGATCCACTTCGTCCCTGCACATGCGGCTCACAGCGTGGCTGCGGCCACTGCCCCCGTGAGGCTTAGTCCTCGCGGTCTGGCCCTGGCATGCGCGTCCACTTCTTGCTCCAATATATGTTTGCCCAGGCGAGGTCACCCGGCTCTGCCGCTCGCTGTATTCGCGGTTCTCATGGCATCCGCGGGCTGGGCCCTCCCCCTCGCGTTCAGACTGTCGGTTCCCCTGGGTCCGGGCCCGCTCTGTTAGTGACGAGGTCCCGTCTGCCATGGTGTTGGCCATGTAGTCCGCGTCATGCACTCTGGGCTCGCCAGGGACCTCCGCCGATGGGCCCGTCATCTCGTCCTGCATCTGCGGGTGTCTGCTCCAGCCGTCTGGCCCCAAACCTTCCCACCTCGCACAGTCCAGATCTCTCTCCCTGGTTCTCCGCGATTGCCTCGGAGTTGGCGGGGTCTCCGTGTCCTGCTGCAGCTGCCACGTCAGCCTGCTGTCTCGCTTGTGCCGCTGCATTTTGCCGTTGCCTCTTGCTGTTCGGGTTGGGCCCCCCCCCCTTGGGTCTAGGTGGGCGTGGGAGCGCTGCCGGGGGCTTCAGCTGTCTGCACTTCGTCGATACCCCTTCTCCGTACAACTCTATATTCAACGCGATGTGCGGCTTCCATGGCACGCCTTGCATGGGCTCGATCCTCTTCACGATGTTCTCGGTCCCGGCGTCCACGATGGCAAGCTCGAGATTCGACTCCGCATCCCCGAGGAAGCACGTGTTGTCGCCCTCTGGGACCGCGGTCGCTGCCTCAGCTCCCAAAGCCTTGGCCCATCCCGACATCCAGAACTCTTCAGGCGCGCGGTTGAAATCTCCGCAGATGAGCCACGGCAAGTCCGTAGCCTTCACAAAAGCTGCCAATGATGATAACTTTCTTGAATTGATGCCCTCCTGGAGGGAGGAATTGGCGTCCAGGTAGATACTAATAGCCGATAAAGTGAACCCTTTCATGTGCCATGCCACCAGCGTCCAGTCGCACATGTCGTAGTCGCACTGCTTCCCCTTCAACATGTTCGTGGTTGTCTGGGAAACCTGGCCCCTGGATGCATTCCAGAAGAACGTCGCTCGGTGATGCCCCTCCATCAGAATGGCTGTTCCCCCACATGAACCTGCCGATGATCTCTTGCACTTTCGAGCCCCCGCGAAGCAAGCCTCGAAGCCCTCCTTCGTCAGCTTCGCTTCGATATCTTCGATCAGGTCGACTGTGAGTGTCTCCTGGATAGCGCAGGCGTCGAACTCCCTCCTGTTCGCCGAACGCATGAGCCACGCGTGCACAGTCGGTCCCCATGTTGTTCTGTTGGCGACGCACAGGCTGCGCGCACGGGGGCCGTCGTCGTCGCGCTTCCGACGGCCTCCCTGCACTGCAACCTAGCTGGTTGCATCTGCCCTTGCTGCCCTTGCCGCCTTCAGGATCTCGTCGATGTCGTCCACGTCCGTGACTTCCTCCTCAATCTCCTCTTTCAACTCCTGATCTGGCTGCTGCAGATCCACCTTTGCGCCTCCGTCACTCTTCCTCTTCTTTGCCGCCTGTGTTATCGCCGTTCTTTGTTCCGCTGCCTTTGCTTCTGCGTTCTCCAAATGCGTCTTCAGTTGACTTGCGAAGGACGCCGCGTTCGCCTTCAGCTGTGCGACCACCTCCTGTTTGGCCTTCTGGTTCTGGATCGCCATCTTCCCCTCATCGTCCAGGTCCTCGTCATTGATGCCTGGGGCTTCGTCCACTTCTCTCAGGTCTCCTTCCGCTAGCTCTGCCACGTCTGAGGAGAGGAGCTGCGCCAGTACTCCCTGCGGTGTAACGTTCTTGCCCTCCGCTTGTACGCCTTCGATTCCCACCTCTACGTCGACCACTTGTGCTGCGTGCTGATGTACTTCTGCTTTGAGCTTTGCCATCTTCTCCTCGGCCTTCTTTGGCTCTTCTCGTTTCCACTCGCAGTTCCTCGTCGCCTTCTGCAGTCCGGTTGCCGCCTCGGCCAGGCGCGCCGCCTTTGGCTTTCTTGCAGGTGGAGGTGTTGCCGCCGCCGCCACCTGGCTCGCCATTCCATTCAGCTGACGTACAAGTTGGTCTCCATTGTGTATGCCCATGCTCTGTAGTGAATTCGTCAGCATGTTCACCGCTGTCGCGAGTGTCTCCGCAGCTTTGCCTCCTGTGCTTTTCCCTGTCCATCCTGCCCCGCCTTTGCCGCCCTTGTCGTTGCCCTTGTCCTTGCCGCTTTCGTGGTCGAGCTTTTTGTCGGTGTTGCCGTTCCAGTCGCTCCGCTCTTCGTCCCACTCCAGTTGCTTGGCGTACTGCGGCTTGGCGATCTTCGCGTTGCAGGTACATGTCCAGCCCATGTAGCACAGCTTGCTGTGGTACCACCACTCGTTGCACTTCTTGCATATCGAATACTGCCTTCATCAGCTGCGACTTCGTCGAACCCTTCAGCTGTCCTTTCCCCATCGCAGGTGGAGTGCTTCCGTGGTGTTCTCGCAGCAGCTGTCGATCGGCTTCAGCGCGTAGCCGACGCCGTGCTGCAGCTCGTTCCCGACGGGGCCTCCCGCGCCACGCTGGCGAGCGCGATCGCTCGCGGCCCGTGGCGCCTGCGGGGCGCACCGCGCGGCGCTGAGGGCGGTCTCCTCGGGCTGCTGCGCCCGCTCGAGCCGCCACCTAGGAGGGGGAGGAGGAGCAGGAGGAGGAGGAGGAGGAGGAGGAGGACGAGGAGAAGGAGGAGGAGGAGGAGGACGAGGAGGAGGAGGACGAGGAGGAGGAGGAGGAGGAAGAGGAGGAGGAGGAGGAGAAAGAGGAGGAGGAGGAGGAGGAGGAGGAGGAGGATATACTTCGCAGATACTTCGTAGGACGACATGGTCGAAATCTTTCGCCGACGCCTTCGCCCCTCCCCTGGGCATGCCCCCGTTCTCAAGGGGCTCCCGCGCAGGGTGTGGGGCGGCGTCGGCTTCGGGCGACGCCCGCGGCGCTTGTGCCCCTCCCCCAGGTATGCCCCCATTCTCAAGGGGCTCCCGTCCAGGGCATGGGGCGGCCGCGCTCGGGCGCCGCCTGCGGTGCGCTCAGCCTCTGGCCGCTCCCCTGGGCGTGCCCGCTTTCTCAGCGGGCTCCCCAAGGTGTGCAGCTCAGGGCGGCGCCCGCCTCGTCCGCGCCCCCCCCTTCCCCGCGGAGTCGCCGCAGCCGCCTGCTAAACCCCTTCTTCTCCAGCGCGCGCCCCGCCAGAGGAGCCCAGCGCCGCGCCTCTGCCTGCTCTTCGCGTCGCTGTCGAGCTGCCGGGGGCGGCGGCCGCGGCTTCGGGCGGAGCCGCGCGGTCTGCCCTTGGCGCCGTGCCTGGGCGAGGCGCTCCCCTGCCGTCGGCGGCCCCGCCTCCGTCTGCAGCTGCTCCAGCGCCCGCGCCGCTCTGAGGAGGGCTGTCTGCGCGGCCCGCGTCTCGGCCTCCTTGGCCTCCGCGCCCGCTTGTGCCTCCTCCAGCTCCCTGCGGGCGTCCGCGGCGCAGCGCTGCGCCTGCGCCAGGCGTGCAGCCCTCGTCAGCTCCGCGGCCTGCTTCGCGCGGGAGTCCGCTTGCGCCGCGGCCAGCAGCGCGCGGGCGTCCGCGGCGCTGCGCCTCGCGTCGTCCAGGCGCTCGGCCCTCGGCCCGCCGCGCCTGGGCGCCGTCTCGCCCTCGGCAGTCTGCGGCGCGGGGGCTCGGTGGGCCCGCGCCTTCGCCAGCGGGGCTGCTCGGCGCCGCCGCCCCGTGGCCCGCTGCTCGGCGGCCTGCAGCCTCGCTAGCTGGTCGCGCGTCGGCGTCTCGACCGCGTCAGGCTCGGGCGCTCGTGATGCAGCGCGTTCAGCCGTCGGGCCCGCGGCCCGCTGCTCGGCGGCCCGCAGCCTCTCCAGCTTGGCCTTGAAGGGCTGGCTCGGCGGGGCGGTCTGCAGGGCGGCGCGGAAGGCCTCCAGCGGCGCCTCCAGTGGCTCGAAGCTCTCGGCGTCGGCGTTGAGGGCGCTCGCCTTGGCCTCCGCCGCGCCCTGCTCCAGGTCCTCGCGGGGTGCAGCAGCGGCGGCCGAGCGCTCTGCCTCCGCCAAGCGCTCGGCTTCGGCCAGGGCCAGGGCCTCGTCCAGGCTCTCGGCGCTCAGCGCTGCCTCCGCCCGCCGTTCGGCTGCGGCCTCGCGCCTGAGAGGCTCCAGGAGGCTGGTCTGCGCCTGCTTCGCCTGCTCCGCCTGCCGCAGCTGGTCGAGGTAGGCGTCCGCTTCTCGCGCCGTCTCCTCGGCCTCCTTGGCTTGGCGCTCGGCATGTGCCCCCGAAGGCCGCAGCGCCGCTGCCAGGGCGGCTCCCAGGCGAGTCGGAGCGGAGCCTCGGTGGCTGCCGAGCGCCGCGAAGGCCGCCAGCAGCCTCTCAGCAGTTCGCCCCTCGGCGCGGAGGTACTGCGCGCGGCGCGCCGCGGCGGGCCGATTCGGCCTGCGCCGCCGCCAGCGCGCCTCCATGCCGGCCCGCTGAGAGGGTGCCGGGACGGCGGGGGAAGGAGAGGGGCGGCGGCGCCCGGCGGCGCCCGTGGCGCTGCCTGGCCTCGAGCGCCGCGCTCGTGCCAGCTGGCGCTAGGAGGAGGAGGAGGAGGAGGAGGAGGAGGAGGAGGAGGAGGAGGAGAGGAGGAGGATATACTTCGCAGATACTTCGTAGGACGACATGGTCGAAATCCGCCGACCCCTTGGGGATCATCGGCGTGTGAGATGCTTCCCCCTCCCCAAACCCCTCCCCCGGGAGCCCGTTCCGGTCGATTTGGAGGGGGGGGGGGGTCCGGGACGAGCGCTCCACGGGGCTTTTCCTGGCCCAAGAGGGCTTCAAGACGGGCCACGAAGCCCCCAAGAGGCCTCCAAGACGGCCCACGAAGGCTCCGAGAAGCCAAACGACCGCTCCAAGACGCCCACGATGGCCCCAAGACGGGCCAAGAGGTCTCCAAGACGGCCCCTGAGGTCCCAAATGAGCCTCCCAAGAGGGCCCAAAGAGTCAAAAATTGCTGATTTTCCAGAGTGTTTTTCGATGTTTTTTGCTTTTCCGCCTTTCCGGCTTCCCGACGCTCCAAGACGGGCAAAGAGGCCCCAAAGATAGCCCCAAGATGGCCCAAGAGGCCCCCAAGACGGCCTCCAGACGGCCCAAGACGGCCCCAAGACGGCCCAAGAGGTCCCCAAGACGGCCCAAGAGGGCCGATTTGGAGGGGGGGAGGGGGCCGGGACGAGCGCAGCACGGCCGGGACGAGCGGTTCCAGGGCTTTTCCGGGCCCAAGAGGGCCTCAAGACGGGCCAAGAAGGCTCCAAGAGGCCTCCAAGACGGCCCACGAAGGCTCCGAGACGCCAAACGACCCCTCCAAGACGCCCAAGATGGCCCCAAGACGGGCCAAGAGGTCTCCAAGGCGGCCCCCGACGTCCCATACAAGTCTTCCAAGAAGGCCCCAAGAGTCTACAATTGTTGATTTTCCATAGTGTTCTTCGACGTTTTTTGCTTTTCCGCCTTTCCGGCTTCCCAACGCTCCAAGACGCGCGACGAGGCCCCAAAGATAGCCCCAAGATGGCCCAAGAGGCCCCCAAGACGGCCTCCAGACGGCCCAGGACGGCCCCAAGACGGCCCAAGAGGACGGCCCAAGAGGGCCGATTTGGAGGCGGGGAGGGGGCCAGGACGAGCGCAGCACGGCCGGGACGAGCGGTTCCAGGGCTTTTCCGGGCCCAAGAGGGCCTCAAGACGGGCCAAGAAGCCCCCAAGAGGCCTCCAAGACGGCCCACGAAGGCCCCGAGACGCCAAACGACCGCTCCAAGACGCCCAAGATGGCCCCAAGACGGGCCAAGAGGTCTCCAAGACGGCCCCCGAGGTCCCAAACAAGCCTCCCAAGAGGGCCCCAAGAGTCTAAAATTGTTGATTTTCCATAGTGTTTTTCGATGTGTTTTGCTTTTCCGCCTTTTCGGCTTCCCGACGCTCCAAGACGGCCAAAGAGGCCCCAAAGACAGCCCCAAGATGGCCCAAGAGGCCCCCAAGACGGCCTCCAGACGGCCCAAGACGGCCCCAACACGGCCCAAGAGGTCCCCAAGACGGCCCAAGAGGGCTCCAAGACGGCACCACGAGGGGCCCAAGAGGGCGACCAAACATGTTGAAACTCTAGCTTTCTGCCCCCAGGAGCCCCAGGGGGCCCCAAGAGTGCCCCAAGAGGCCCCCAGAGGCCCTCACGAGGCCGCCCAGACGCCCCAAGGAACCCCCAAGAAGCACCCCAGAGGCTCCGAAACGGCCCCCGAGTGGCTCCAAAACTCGCAGTGTCGCTGTCCGCTCGGACCTCCCCGCGGAACTGCCCGAGACCCTCTGGCGGTGGCGGCGAACAGACACCAAACAAATATCACTCGCCTTTTCACCCCTTCGCAGCTTCTACTACCCCCAGATTGGCATAAACAAGGGGTCGGCGGTGTGGCGTAAGCCTAAGAATCGACGCTAACCGACGCGAATCAACGCTTATCGACGTCAGTGCCATCCCCTCGATTACCAAACGCTAGAAGGCGCTAGTGCACTCTAACAACGGAATTACGAAGGTACACAAGGCCCCAATGATTTGTTACCAGACTCCTCTCCCGCCCCCTCCGATTGCGCCCTCCGCAGCTCGCTGCCATCGGCTGGCCTGCTCAGCTGCTACCAGGCTGCCGGGAGCCAGGATGGGCACAGGCGGGCGGAGGCTTGCTGGGATTATGAGGGACCTCCTGGCTGTCTTCCTTTTTGTTGCGCAGTTGTCACGCACGGTGCTCATCATGTACCCTGTGCTTGACCTCGGCTAAGCCGACGAGCCTTCATGAGTCCTCGAGACCTTGAGTCACCCTCCGATGCGTTTCCCCCATCGCAGGCACCGTCCTGAAACGCCGACCCCCAGAAGCCTCGACCCATTCCCCTGGACCGACCTTTCATCCTGAGTCGTTCTGTTGACGGTCCTGGGGCCCAGTAAGGGCCCCCAAAAACCAAAAAATCGCGAAGACCTTCCGCCATGATTCTCAAACGACGCGAGGGGGTCCCCCTCCGATGCGTTCCCCCCCATGGCAAGCCCAGCGTGCCCCAGCACCTCCGCCACCTCGGCGGCGGCCGTTGCCCCCGACCGCCGCTGCGGGCCAACCGCGCCGTTCACATTCCATGCGCCGCCGCGCCCGCGTCCGGGGCGCCGCGCGCCACACGATGAGGAGGAGGAGGAGGAGGATTTGTTTTCCAGCGCGATGCCTTCCACCTCTGAAACTAGAAGCCGCATCGATGGGCTACGACTTCTCTGGCCAGTACCCTAGGCACTTTGAAACTAGAAGCCGCATCGAGGGGCTACGACTTCTCTGGCCAGTACCCTAGGCACTTTGAAACTAGAAGCCGCATCGAGGGGCTACGACTTCTCGGGCCAGTACCCTAGGCACTTTGAAACCAGGGCCCCGCTTGGACCGCAGCACCAGGGAGTTTCGGGTGAACGCCACGGGTCATCTGCTTCCAAGCGAACTTGGCTCCCAAGCTTATGGGGAGCCATTACAAACACGAGCCAGATTGCGCACCATTCTATGGCCCGAGTAGGCTTTGGAGGAGGAGGAGGAGGAGGACCAGTGCGATACTCAGACACACCAACGATGTTGCAATGAATCGTCCCTCCAAATTCCCTCTTCATAAATCCCTACAAGAATTCACTTTCATGGCGGGAAATCCCCCATTGGAAGACAACGGTCTGAGAACCGTCAACCGCGCCAAAACACCATTCCTGAAACTTCAACGCCGCGAGTAAACATGACAATTGCGCTCTGCCAACCCAAAATGCTGCCAGAGCACCGTGCCTGGGATTTTCGACACCACGAATCAACGTGACTGGTGCGTGCTGATAATCCCAAATCGCGCCAAAACGCAATTCTGGGGGCTGAACCATACGAATCGCTAAAATTGCTGCACGCTGTGAAAACGAATGTTCGTGGCGCTAGATACGTAAAAATTACATCTTGAAAAGGAACCGCCCTCCATTATTGAAACTGCTGCGAACCTTTAAAGCGCATGCGCGGGGCACTACGACCAGAGCTACAGTTTAGAACCGACCCGCCTTCCATCCATAGAAATGCTTCAAATTTCAAGCTTCCAGATTATGAACGCTGAGGAATTCTCAGCCGAATCGCCCAGCCCGCCCTAACGACGCGCTTCGGATGGCGAGATGGAAGAGTTGCTTACAAGGAAAAGGGATGGAGGAGGAGGAGGAGGAGGAGGAGGAGGAGGACGGAGGACCGAAGAGGAGGATCGCACACCTCTGGGGAAAAAGAGAGAACGAAGGGAGGAACGAGGAGGAGGAGGAGGAGAAGGAGAAGGAGGAGGAGAAGGAGAAGGAGAAGGATAAGGAGAAGGAGAAGGAGAAGGAGGAGCCACCACAGGGCAATGCCCAGAACGCTGCGACGTCAGATGCAGGCTCACGCCCTTTTGCTGCAGCGATGAGGAACACAGCGCGCTCGGACCAGGCCACCTGCCCAAATATCCGACACTATGATTGTTTCAATCCCCGCGCTCTCCCTCGACTTCGGCAGCTGAGGCCGGCTATCGGGCCCCCTGCACAAACGAAAATATCCTGACGAAGGACCCAACCATCTGCAATTGTGAATAACGCGTTGTGGGTGCCGCTGTCGGTGGAGCTCCCTATGGGACCAGGGACGTGCCGTAATGGGTGGGGGGGATGCACGTGGGGCCACGAAGCGCTGTACTTGGTGGTGCACTTCGCTGGAGCTCCCGATGAGGCTACGAAACGCTGTACTGGTGGAGGGAAACGCATGCGGGCGGTGCCACTGGGGCCGTCGGCGGAGCTCCCTATGGGGCCACGAAGCGCTGTGCTGGGTGGTGGCCGACGCATGCGGGCGGTCCCAGTGGGGAGGGGGGGACGCATGCGGGCGATGCCACTGGGGCCGTAGGTGGAGCTCCCTGTGGGCCCACGAAACGCTGCACTGGGCGGGGGCTGACGCACGCGGGCGGGCTACTGGAGTTCCCTGCGGGGCCACGAAACGCTGTGCTGGGAGGGGGGGAGACGCATGCGGGCGGTGCCACTGGTGCCTTTCGGCGGAGCCCCCGATGGGGCAACGAAACGCTGTAATGGGTGATGGCTGACGCATGCGGGCGGTCCCACTTGGACCATCGGTGGAGCTCCCTATGGGGCCACGAAACGCTGTACTGGGTGGTGGCTGACGCGTGCAGGCGGTGCCACTGGGACCTGCGCTGGGGCTCCCCATGGGGCCACGAAACGCTGTACTGGGTGGTGGCTGACGCATGCGGGCAGTGCCACTAGGGCCTTCGGTGGAGCGCCCGTATGGGGCCACGAAACGTTGTGCTGGGTGGTGGCTGACGCGTGCGGGCGGTGCCACTGGGGCCGTCGGTGGAGCTCCCTCTGGGACCACGAAACGCTGTACTGGATGGTGGCTGACGCATGCGGCATGCGGGCGGTGCCACAGAGCCCGTCGGTGGAGCTCCCTATGGGGCCACGAAACGCTGTACTGGGTGGTGGCTGACGCATGCGGGCGGTCCCACTGGGACCATCGGTGGAGCTCCCTATGGGGCCACGAAACGCTGTACTGGGTGGTGGCTGACGCATGCGGGCGGTGCCACTGGAGCCGTCGGTGGGGGTCTTTTGGGGGCCACGAAACGCTGTAGTGGGTGGTGGCTGACGCATGCGAGCGGTGCCACTGGGGCATTCGGTGGAGCTCCGTATGGGACCACGAAACGCTGTACTGGGTGGTGGCTGACGCATGCGGGCGATGCCACTTGGGCCTTCGGTGGGGCCACGAAACGCTGTAGTGGGTGGTGGCTGACGCGTGCGGGCGGTCCCACTGGGACCATCGGTGGAGCTCCCTATGGGGCCACGAAACGCTGTACTGGGTGGTGGCTGACGCATGCGGGCGGTGCCGATGGGACCATCGGTGGAGCTCCCTATGGGGCCACGAAACGCTGTACTGGGTGGTGGCTGACGCATGCAGGCGGTGCCACTGGGACCTGCGGTGGAGCTCCCTATGGGACCACGAAACGCTATACTGGGTGGTGGCTGACGCACGCGGGCGGTCCCACTGGGACCTGCGGTAGAGCTCCCTATGGGGCCACGAAACGCTGTAGTTGGTGGTGGCTGACGCATGCGGGCGGTGCCACGGGGGCCGTCGGTGGAGCTCTCTATGGGGCCACGAAACGCTGTACTGGGTGGTGGCTGACGCGTGCAGGCGGTGCCACTGGGACCTGCGGTGGAGCTCCCTGCGGGGCCACGAAACGCTGTACTGGGTGGTGGCTGACGCATGCGGGCGGTGTCACTGGGGCCGTCGGTGGAGCTCCCTATGGGACCACGAAACGCTGTACTTGGTGGTGGCAGACACATGTGGGCGGTCCTACTAGGACCATCGGTGGAGCTCCCTGTGGGGACTCTGTACTGGGTGGTGGCTGACGCATGCGGGCGGTGCCACTGGGGCCTTCGGTCGAGCCCCCTATGGAACCACGAAGCGCTGCACTGGGTGGTGGCTGACGCATGCGGGCGGTGCCACTGGGGCCGTCGGTAGAGCTCCCTATGGGGCCACGAAACGCTGTAGTTGGTGGTGGCTGACGCATGCGGGCGGTGCCACTGGGGCCTGCCGTGGAGCTCCCTATGGGGCCACGAAACGCTGCACGGGATGGGTGAAACGCAGGGTGGAGGGAGGAGAGCGAGGAGGAGGAGGAGGAGGAGGAGGAGGAGGAGGAGGAGGAGGAGAGGAACGCGGGGACCGCCTCTTCAAAACGAGAACACCACAGGATGGCTTGGAAAAGTTGTCTCAGCGTGGGCGCAAAAGGGGACCGGTAATTGATTGCACCGGTCGGGGTCAGTTGGGACACTTGAAGTTGCGGATGCAAAAAATGAAGGATGGACCTGTAATCGTTTGCACCAGTCGGGGACGCTTGGGTCAGTTGGATCAGTTGGGGCCGGTTGGGGCCAGTTGGGGTCAGTTGGGCCAACTCGGCCAACTGGGCCAACTGGCCCAACTGACCCAAACGGCCCCGACCCCGAAAACCCCCCCTCCCTCCACGGATCCCCGGGAGCAGGCGTCTCAGGTGCACTAAGTCGCTCCGAATCGGTTCACCTAAGACGCCTGGTCGCCAGCCGCTCTGGCGCCTCCGTTTGGCGGGCAGTCGGGGACACTTGGGTCAGTTGGGCCAGTTGGGGCCAGTTGGAGTCAGTTGGGGTCATTTGGGCCAATTGGGCCAGCAGGCCCTGCTGGCCCAAACGGCCCCGACCCCGAACCCCACCCCCCCAACCCCCGGGTCCCTGGGAGCAGGTAGGTGCACCAAGTCGACCCCGAATCGGCGGCAGGTTGCGAATCACAGACCAAACATTGAATCACAGACCGCGCGCGACGAATCACAGACCACGCGCGCCGAATCACAGACAGCACACATTGAATCACAGACCGCACGCGACCAACCACAGACAACACACATTAAGTCACAGACCGCACGCGACGAATCACAGACAGCACACACTGAGTCACAGACCGCACTCACGAATCACAGACCGCACGCGACGAATCACAGACAGCACACACTGAATCACAGCCCGCGCGTGTCGAATCACAAACAGCACACATTGAATCACAGACCGCACGCGACGAATCACTGACAACACATTGAACCACAGACCGCACGCGACGAATCACAGACAGCACACACTGAATCACAGACCGCACGCGATCAATCACTGACAACACACATTGAACCACAGACCGCACGCGACGAATCACAGACAGCACCCACTGAGTCACAGACCACTCACGAATCACAGACCGTACATGCTGAATCACAGACTGCACGCGACGAATCACAGACCGCACACCAAATCACAGAGCACACGCACCAAATCACAGACAAAACGTTGAATCGCAGACAATGGATTCCATGTTTGGATATAAGTTTCCATAACAAAACATTGGTTTCCGTAGTGGCGGACCTTGGTCTCTATAAAAGCGGACGCGGGTTTCCATAATTGCGGACCGCAATCTCCATATTTGCGGACCTGGATTTCCATAATTGCGGACATGAATTCCCATGACGCGTTCCATAATTGCGAAACTGGGTTTCCATACCTTCAGAACCGGGTTTCCATAATTGCCGACTTCGGTTTTCGTAATTGGGGGCCCGATTTTCCAGCTTTGTGGATTGGTCCCATCCGATGAATTATCTTATTTCCCCGTTTCCTCCAAGTCCGACCCTTTCCCTAAAACCCGGTTAAGACATAGCTACACCAATCACAGACGACGACGACGACGACGACGACGACGACAACAACGACGATGACGACGACGACGACGATGACAGCGAGGATGACGGCAACGGCGACGACGGCGACAACGACGACGGCGACAACGACAACGGCGACAACATAACGATAATGACAGCGACGATGACAGCGATGATGACGACGACGACGACGACGACGACGACGACGACGACGACGACGGCGGCGGCGGCGACGTTCCTGGAAACGCTCCTCCCACTCCCTTCTTTCTCTTCCCTTTTCCTCCCTTTTCCTTTTCTTCCTTCCTTTCTCCTGGGCATTTTTGTTGGCTTCAGGGGGCCTGGGAGAACGGAATGGAGTACAAGCGGAGGGGGAAGCCGAGAGGAGGAGAAGGAGGAAAACATGGAATGGGACAAAAACGCCAATAGGAGGGAAGGAAGAAAAGAAAAAGAAAGGAGGAGGAAGGAGGTGGGAGGGGGAAAAATGGCGAGAGGAGGACGGGGGGAAGGGAGGAGAAGGAAGGGGAAGCCAGAAGAGGGGCCCCAGAATGCCCTCCCCGAGACCCCGGGAGAGAAGCGAAACCACATTATAAAAACACTCGTTCTTATGAGGACCTTTTCTGCGGCGTCGAACCCCCTGTCGGGGTCCACTCGAAACCTCAACCGGCGCCCACGGGTGCCTGCTGGGGCCCAAGCGCGCCCCGTCGGGCGCTCTCCGGTGCGTCCTCAGGCCTTCAAATGCCTCCCCGAGACCCCGAGAAGTGGAACGCAAACACATTATAATTACGCTATCGAGGAACCCCACATACTTATAATATGTCTGGCGTGATGATAGCTGACGTGAAACTTGCGAGAATGATGCAGGTGGCCGTTGCTTCGCCGCTACCGTTGGTGGCGCCGGTCAAGCCTTGGGAGCCTGAGTACCCTGAAGGGGTCCAGTAAGGGCAGCAGCCTGGGCGCTACTGGCTAACCGCCACTTTGACCCCTCCAGCTGGCTGGGCCTTACACGTCGCGCAAAGAGTCGATGCCGCGCTCAGGGACCACCCACAGTGGCGTCGAGGAAGTGCCACGCCTGCCAAGCTTTGCGAGCCCGAAACGGGTAGGGAGACCAGCCCCAGCGCACCCCCTGTGGTGTCGAGGAAGTGCCACGCCTGCCACGCTTTGCGAGCCCGAAACGGATAGCGCTCCCACCGCCACCTCACCCCCTATGGTGTCGAGAATGTGCCACGTCTGCCACGCCTTGCGAGCCCGAAACGGATAGCGTTCCCACCCCCAGCGCAGCCCCTGTGGTGTCAAGGAAGTGCCGAGCCTGCCACGCTGTGCGAGCCCGAAACGGATGGCGCTCCCCCACCCAGAGCGCACCCTGTGGTGTCGAGGAAGTGCCACGCCTGCCACGCTTTGCGAGCCCGAAGCGGATAGCGCTTCCATCTCCAGCTCACCCCCTGTGGTGTCGAGGATGTGCCACGCCTGCCACGCCCTGCGAGCCCGAAATGGATAGCGCTCCCACACCCAGCGCGCTCCGTGGTGGCGAGGAAGTGCCACCCCTGCCACGCTGTGCAATCCCGAAACGGGTAGCGATCCCACCCCCAGCTCACCCCCTGTGGTGTCGATAATGTGCCACGCCTGCCACGCCTTGCGAGCCCGAAACGAAAACCGCTCCCACCGCCAGCGCGCCCCCTGTGGTGGCGAGGAAGTGCCACGCCTGCCGCGCTTTGCGAGCCCGAAACGGATAGCGCTCCCACCCACAGCGCATCCCCTGTGCCGACGAAGTGCCAAGGACTATGCGGCAAACCCGCGAACTTCTGCCGAACAACTTCCCGAAGAAATGAAAAGAACAACTCATCGATTTTTTGGCCGCGAACGAACCCGCGAACTGATGCCGAACAACTTCCTGAACAAATGAATAACAGGTCTCTGAAGCTTCCACCGCAAACAAACCCGCGAAGCTGTGCCGAACAACCTCCCGATCAAACACAAAATTCTCAACTTGCAATGATACATCTGGAACCTTCAACCAACCAGGGAACCGCAACAAATACGCGCACAGCAACCGATTCGCACAAAAGCTCAAGGATTGCTAAACACTAAACGTCGCTGAATACCAAGACTGATCGCTCAAATACTGATTATGCCGCTTTCTTCTCGCAATGCTAGCGAGCAAACCAAAACAGTAATTACCTGAAACGAAAACTGTTCCCCAGAAGCCATCAAAAACACGGTTTCTCGATGAGTTGTTGCTTTACCGCTGCTAAACTAAAAACGAATTGAGATCTCCACCTGCATTACACAATGTACTCACTACATGTTTGAAGAAGACGGGTAACTTCGCGCATAGCCTCCAACATCGCGTCTCTGAATTGAAACGCCTGCGAACGTGGGGGGGCGAAACCCACGTATTGCGATAGACGGAAAAACAACACGACAATCCAATAGAAACCCTTCGGGGCTACACCGAGGCGCACAAGCGAGGTAAGAACGCAAGACGTTGCTAAACTATTCCAGAACATCGTGATGATTAACATGAAACTATCACTGAGCACCATCGGTATGATCTAATGTACTGCAAAAGTGGTTTATGTGCTACTTGAAACTTGCGGGGTCAATCCTACAACCAGGGGTGCACAAACGTGAGACCGACAGCCTCTGTCGGCTCGAGATCGCGGCGACGGCCGAAGCGACCGTGCATCGACCAAACGCTGGTCACCTCAAGTCAGGGCTTCTCGCAGCCAGGGACTCCGAGGATGTCTCAGGCGAAACGGGACCGAGCGCATCGCGGACTACGTCTTGGGACCAAGACTAGCGAGAACGTCTCAAGCGAAACGGGCCAAAGCACCTCAATTCAGGGCATCTCGCAGTAACCTGGGGTTCGGGGGTTTGTTCGGTAGAAGTTCGGAAGCTGGTTCTGGAGTTCGTGGGTTTGCTGTAGTTTCACCACGCTTTGCGAACCCGAAACTGATAGCGTTCCCACCCCCAGTGCGCCCCCTGCGGTGTCGAGGAAGTGCGACGCCTGCCACGAGCCCGAAACGGATAGCGCTCCCACCCCCAGCTCCACATGGCGGCGCCGCCCCATCTTGGAGCACCCCTCACAGGTTTCGTGGCCCCAGAGGGGGTTCCACCGAAGGCCCCAGTGGCAGGGTCCACTTGGCGGCGCCGCCTCATTCTGGCGCACCCCTCACACGCTTCGTGACCACACAGGGAGCTCCACCGAAGGCCCCAGTGGCAGGGTCCACATGGCGGCACCACACCCATTCCAGCACACCCCTCACGCGTTTCGCGTCCCCGTGGGGAGCTCCACCGAAGGCCCCAGTGGCAGGGTCCGCATGACAGCGCCGTGCCGATTTCGTGGCGCCCCTCACACGTTTCGTGGCCCCGTGGGGAGCTCCAGCGAAGGCCCCAGTGGCAAGGTCCGCATGGAAGCGCCGTGCAGATTTCGGGGCGCCTCAGTGGACGGAGGCTCCCAGAGATCTCCAGGCAGTTCGGATCGGGATGAGGGAGATTGATGAGGACCAGGAGGACAAACAAATACGAGCAGGCCTTCCTTTCCCTCCAACTCCTCTCCAGTGCTACGTTCGCCCGCTTCAATTTTCCCCCCCCTCATACACGCCGCAGTCCTTCTTGCTGCCCCCCCCCTCCTTCGTGTCATCTCCCTCGCGGTACTCGCAGCCGCTTAGGCTATACCGCGTGAGCTGCTCGGAATTTGCGCGCCCCCCCTCCGTCTCATCTCCCTCGCGGTACTCGCAGCTGCATATGTTTGGGTCCTTCAGACTAACTTTGAATATTCCTCCTCTAGAGGGACAGGCCCGACTTAAGGCAGGCTCCGAGGGACAGCGGCCAGGGGCCGTGGTCACGGCATGCAGAACCAAACTGGTCGAATTTAGATGTATTGGCGAGGCGTATATGCCTGTTCGGAGTTCTTACTGCTCGGATCTCTCACTACACCTCCTGGCCCTGAGATGGTGCGTGCCCTCGAGCTTGTACACGTTCGCAGCCTTGGGGAAGAGCTGCTGGGCGTGATCGGCTGCATGCTCTGCAGCTGCTCGTGCAGCGAACGGACCAATCGCGACAACTTTTGATTCTCCAACTTCAAGTCCAAAGAGGTGGCAGTCCCCTTGAGATTGTATAGGCAAACTACAAATTCGTTCACGTCGAGGGTGCCGTTACCATCCTCGTCCATGATGTGAAATAATTCACTCAACCCGTTGTGGCCTCTAAAGAAAAGGTCCACCCCGTTTTCCTCCAAGAACTTCACGTTAGTTTGAGTGCTCAGCAGCTTGATGAAAGCATCCTCCGTGATCCTGGGGTGTTCATCCGATGAGGCCAGGAAGGAAGACGTGTGCGGCGTGTGGGGGATGTTCTTTATAGCAGCCAGGAAGAATTCGCTGGTCTCGGCCACCCAATCCCTCTTTTTGTAGACGAGCTCCTGCACGTCGTCTATTCGATGTGCTGCCTCCAAGAAGACAGCGGTCAACAGGTTGAGAATGCAGAAAACCCCGACGACAATGTACATAATAAGACAGCACACCAATATCCAGTGTATGTGCCTGAATGGACCTGCAATATCACCCCAGTCCCGCCCACCTGTGAGGGCCTCGAATAGCGAGTACATGCTCTCCCCTAAGTTCGAAAAGTTCTTTGCGACGTAGTTAACCGCTTTCAGGTTCTCTTCATCGAGTTCCTCATCTTTGACTGAACGCAAGTACTCTGAGAGGAGCTGAGCTAAGAGAATCCCCATCATGTAAGTCAACAACAACAGCAGCACCCCAGCCCAGAAAAGGGGTCTCGCGCAATTTAAAAGCCCAGTAATCATTATCTTCAACTCCTTAAAATCGCGAACTACCCTGAACGCGCGCATTATCCGAGTCACCCTGAGAAGGCGAGTTAGACGCAGGAAACCAAAGGTTATAACGTCTACAGAGAAATATCTGAGGAACTCCTCGACAACAGTGATCAGGATAAGCAACGTGTCAAACCAATTCCAGAGAACATCCCGATGACGGGCTACCAGGAAGTCGGTACCATCGGCGATAAAGCGAACCGAAAGTTCTGCCAGAAACGCCAAGGCAAAGAACCCGTTGGCGATTCGCCATGAGATACTTTCTGGCAAAGAGCAGCTGGGAGAGATCATGATCTCGTTCGCCTCAAACCCTAGGTACACGCTGTTCGCTAAAATCACGCACGCGGTGCACACAACGAAGCCGCGACTGCTGCACACTTTCGTGCAGATGGCGCGGCAAGAACGGCCCTGATTGGCTTTTCTTGGAGAAGTCACCACCCCCATTCCGAACGTGCTGGCATGAATCACCGGGGGATGGTAGTCGCCCTCCACGGCGGTGTCCAGCTCCGGCGGAGACCATGACGCGCTGGCCTCGCCAGGCGGCTCGAAGAGCGCCTCGATCCGGGCCAGGGCCCCCCCTTGCTGCTGGACCATCTCGCGCAGGCCTGCCTCCCTCACGCGCCGCTCTTCCGCCTCACGCTCCAGCAGCTCCTCCAGGCGGCCTCGCGGCGCGTCCTCGTGGTCCTGCTGCCCCCCCGGGGTGGGCGCGGAGCCCCCCCCCGAGGCCAGCGCCGCGAGAGGGACCTGCAGCTCCCGCGTCTGCTTCTGGACCTCCTCCTGGACGCAGCCCCTCAGCTGCCGCGTGTGTTCCGCCAGCAGCCTCGGCACCTGCGCTATCATCGCGTGTTGCTTCTGGGCCTCCTCCGCCACGCAGGCCTGCAACTGCTTCGTCTGCTCCGCCAACATCTTCTGCAGTGCCCCCAACAACGCCTCCGACCACCAGACCCGCTCAGCGGCGATGTCCTGCTGGGACGGCGTTTGCGAAGACCTCCTGCGCACTTGCTCAAACACATCGGACACCAGCGACGACGTCCTGGAGTCTGCCATGGCCCCGCAGCAGAACGAGTGCAACTCGCCCAGCCAGGCGCGAAGCTCGCGGCAGGACGCCGCTCTGCGGCCACCCAAGCGGTTGAGCCACAGTGGCCAAAGAAGAATTGACATGCCGGTTAGAAATGCGACCAGAAGTTAAGCAATCTACGTGGCGCAACGTGGTGCAATCAATTTGGTGCAATTCGTCTGGGGAGCTCGAACAATTGTCAAATCCACTGCTCACGCAATCATCCCACCCATCCACCCGCAACTCGTCTTGCAAAACATGAGCGGCGGCGATTGCCATGACTGCTTGGCGTTGGCTGGTGCATCTCTGCGGCCGCGCCAGTCCGCGCATGCACTTGCGCGCGGCGGCCACCTAGCTTGGCGCGACCGACGCGGCCGCGGTGGCGCTGACCGCTAGGGACATCCCAGCGGGCACTTCAGTGCGATTCGGCGACTTGGGCGGGCGCGGTATCATGACAACGTCGACAACAATAGACACGATGCTGATAATAGCGATGCTGGTGACGATGTTGACAACGATGACGGCGCGGCCAGTGACGGCGCCAGTGCTGATTACGCCGACGACGATGACGGCATCCTCGCATCGGTGAAGAAGGTTTTGGATGGAGTTCGACATGCGCGCGCGGCCGACGCGCGAGAGTAGCCCGCATGATGTGATTTAACACGGATGGTGCCCCCCCCCCAACACGCGCGCAAGGGCATTCGAATGATTTCGGCATGGGGCGCGAAAGGCCCGTTTGGCAGAATTCCATGAAAATCCTGCAAACCTATAGTTTTTGTGGACGAATTCGCAAGAGCGCGAGCGCATGTGTTTTGAAAACTGTTGTCGCGAAAACAAATGTTCTTTTGTTGTATGGTTTCGCGGCAGTCGGTTCTGAAATCCTTGCGAAACCTGGGATTTTGACGGATTCCGGCATGCGCGCGCGATGACGCGCGCGCGTGCACTTCGTCCCGTGTTTTGCAAGGGTTCTCGCGACTGCACGTGCGCCTGGGCGTCTGAACGAGTTCGACCTGCGCGCGCGAAACCCGTTTGGTAGCATGTTGTGAAAATATTGTAACACCTATGGTTTTCTGGATAATTCGCAAGAGCGCTCGCGCATGAATTGTTTGAGAATTTGTGCTGCGAAACCATGTGTTCTTATTTGTTTAAAGAGCGCCCGATTGCAAAACCGACGGTTTTGAGCGATTTCGGCATGCGCGCGCGACGACGCGCGCGTGCGCACGTCGTTTCATTTTTCGCAAGGGACTTGTTTGTTTGCTTCATGATAGGAAAAAAGTTGTGATGCTTGGTAAACGAGAGCGCGCCAATAGTACTTGTTTTGCAGAGGATGCCGGGGGGGGCGATACCGGCTTGGCTGGGATGGTACGAGCTCATATTTAAGATGGGCGATGGGGCAATCGTGTGCAAATTGCAATACGAAAAAAGGAGCGATCATCCAAGGGGGGAAGAGTCTATAGTTTCAAAAATAAGGGAATTCAATGTTTACAAACGAATTGTCATTTCACACTTTGCAAAAATCCCACCCACCCACCCACAACTTGGTTTGCAAAACACACGCGGTGGCGATTGCGATGAGTGCTTGGCGTTGGCTGGTGCAGGCCACAAGATAGTTGGGTCCTATGCCACAGAAACAACTCCCCAGAAAACGGTCGGGACCTCTGGGGCCGCGGACTGACAAAAAACACGTCGGCGGATTTTAAGATGTGCACCTGTACAGCGGGCCTTGTATAGCTTCATCGGCCTTTCCGGAAATGCGGTCGGCAACTACGCGGGGCCAGCGCGCGGATCCCAGGCAGCGCACAACTGGGCAGCCAGGGGCCAGCAGCGGCTAGCGCCGGCAGCCAGCTGGCAGCCACCACGGCCACAAGGTTTCAAGGCCCGAGGGCCAACAGCGCCCATGGGCGGCAGCCGATGTTGCCGACAAATCGGGGCTGACAGGGCTGAGCTTCTGCCTCGCGGAGGTTGGCAGCGGCAATTGGCGCTGGCGGCATCCAGTCCCCGAGCGGTTCACTGCCCACAGAATCAGCGGACGGGGAGCACAAGAAGACAATAGCTGGGGGGCGCCCCGGACGCATTCCGCCAGCGGTTGCAGCCGCCGCGGGTTTGCCCCGTCAGACGGGGGAAAGAATCCGAGAATTCGCACAAGTTTCGGGAGATGACGCCATCGACCTGCATGCCACACGGGCTGCGGTGTCGGAGCCGCCCGTCAACGGAGTCTGGGCTGGGTCCTCCGCCAGGTCTGCCGGCGCCTCAGCGGGCCCTGCAGCCTGCCGCACGCAGGACATGCAGGGTGGTCGCTGGAAGCCTGTCGGGATATGTTTTGCTCTGCTTCCCCCGCCACCCGCACTTCCCGCTGCCATGTTTCGCCTTCTCGCTCGTGCCTGTAGACGGAGGATGGCTCAGCGAGAGGTCGGGATGCTGACAGGGGGGAAGGCCAGCGCGCTGTGCCCTCCCCTGTTGCTCCTGCCTTGGGCTGGCATCTTTCTGGAAAAACTCGACGACGACGAACAGCACAGAAGAGTGAAGATCGAAAATTAATCACATGGCAGGAGGGAGAGGGGTGAGCAGAAATGGGCGGAAGGGGGAGACACTGGAAGGAGACAACGAGAAGCGGGGAAGCCCGGCGCGCCCCGCTGCGCGCCTTCTGGGCACGGCCCCCAAGGGCCGCTGGGACTCGTCGGCTCGCCCTGCCACGTGCCGATGCCAAGGGCAGCGGGACATTCGCGGCAGATGCGTCGCTTCTGGCCGCCTCCCACAGCTTTTGCTCTTCGGAGAGCTTGGCCAACAGCTCGGAGGCACGCTTCTTCAGCTGCTCCGCCTCCGCCTCCGCGGCCGAGCATCTCCAGAGCCCGCTGTAGCTGCTCGTCGTCCCAGAAAGATGGCGCCAGAGAGATGACGACGGGCTCCACTTTCGCCTCCCACATCTCGCTCAGCAGCGCAACAACAACCGGCGGCCAGGGTGCGCCCTTCTCGCACAGGCTGGTCCCAGCGCTGTGGCTGACTACGGCTGACCCGCGGCCTTCCGGCCGCGGAATCTGCCCGCCATCATGCGGACGTGGAACTGGAGCGTCTCTGGGGCCTCGCGGGGGGGGAGATTGGAGGGGGCGGTGTAAGGTAAGGTGGGCGAGGGATGCAGGCAAGCAGGCCTGAAGGCAGGAACGCGGTGGTGGAGTCGGTGCCAGTGGAAGCACATCCATGTAGGCACGACATGGTGTTGACAGAAGCTGTTTCTCATGCCGCGCTCTGTGTTCATCATAGCTTCTGCGGGGCGGGTCGCTGTGATAATTGTATCTGCTCTTCGCCGGGGCCGAAAAACACTTTTATCTGGTAGTGTGGTGAGACTGGGGCCGGTGGGCGCTGGCATGTTCCTCTTCCTTCGACTGGAGTTAGGACGGCCTAAGGGGCCCGCAAGAGGGCGCCGAGACGGCCCAAGATGTCTCCAGAACGGGCCAAGAGGCCTCGATCCAAGACGGCCCATGAGGGCCCCACGAACTCCCTAAGACGGGCCCCAGCGCGAGGACACGAATCGGCGTTTTGAGCTCACCGCCCCAAGACGTCTCCAAAAGACCCAGAGATGGCCCCTGGAGGGTTCGAGAGGCCCCCAAGACGACGCTGGAAGTTCGACGCTCCCCAAGAGAGAAGCATCGAAGGCCCCTTGGGGGCCGTGTTGAGGCCTCTTTTCGTCCTCCTGGGGGTCTCTCGGACTCTCGGGGCCCTATTGGGCAGTCTGGAGTGCCTCTTGGGTCGTCTTGGGGCGATGTGGGGCCGCCTGGGGCGCTCTCGGGGCATCTTGGGGCCGTCTTGGGGCCATCTTGGACCGTTGGGCGCTCTCGAGGCTGTCTTGGGTGCCTATTGGGCCGTCTCGGGCGCCTCTGGAACCGTCTTGGGGCCATCTCGGGCCGTTGGGGGGCCCTCTTGGGGCGACCCTGGGGGCCTGTACAGCCGTCGTTGAGACTGTGCAAACGGACAGAGGGAACATCTAGAAAACATACGTTTTCCGAAGGGAATGCGACGATTTGTGGGGGTCCTCCTAGGCTGTCTCGGGAGCCTCCTTGCCCGCCTTGGAGACCTCTGGGGCCATCCTGGGGCTCGCTTGGGGTCCTCTTGGGGCATCAGGGCGCCCTCTAGAGCGTCTCTGAGCCGTCTTGGGGCCATCTTGGGCCGATATTGGGCGCTCTTGGGGCTGTCTTGGGTGCCTCTTGGGCCGTCTCTGGCGCCTCTGGAACAGTCCCGGGGCTGTCTCGGGCCTTTTGGGGGGTCCACTGGGGGCGTCTGGGGGCGTCTTGGGGCGACCGTAAGGGCCTGTACAGTCGTCTTGGAGACTGTGCACATGGACAGAAGGAATGTGCAAAAACAAATGTCTTCCGGAGGGACTGGGACGATTTTTGCCTCCTGGGGATCTTCCTGGGCGTCTCGGGAGCCGGGCCGTCTCTGAGCCGTCTTCGGGCCGTTATTGGGTGCTCTTGGGGCTGCCTTGGGTGCCTCTTGGGCCGTCACGGGCGCCTCTGGAGCAGTCCCGGGGCCGTCTCGGGCCGTTTTGGGACCCTCCGAAATGCGTCTGGGGACGTCTGGGGGCGATCTTGGGGGTCTGTACAGCCGTCTTGGAGACTGCACACGAAAAGAACGGACATTGGAAAAATATACGTTTCCCAAAGACTGGGACAACTTTTACCTCTTGGGGCTCTCCTGGGGGTCCTCCTGGGCCGTCTCGGGAGCCCGTGGGGCCATCCTGGGGTTCGCTTGGGGTCCTCTTGGGGCGTCCGGGCGCCCTCTTTTGAGCGTCTCTGAGCTGTCTTGGGGCATTAACCCAACGTTAGGTTCATCCCTCATCGCCAGTTCTGCCTACCAAAACTGGCCCACTTAGAGTTGTCATTTATCGCAGAAGTTCACTCAGGTAACCACTGGATCTGAACCATTCAAAGTTCGAGAGCAGGTCGAGGACAACGCGCCCCCGACTCCTCTAATCATTCATCTTGGGGCCCCTGGAGCCGTCTCGGAGCGCCCGGGGGACTCGCAGGGCGCCCCAGAGGGCCCGGGGCCCGGGGGGCCTTTCGGGGGCAGAGGACCTTCTCGCACGCAAGGTCGCTG